TCTTAATCTGTGTAATCTTGAAGTTTTTATTTTCGAACTCGTTCAAAATCAATTTTTTTTGGAACTTTTTAACAATTATAAAATTACAATTTTTTTTTTAGTTTTTAAACAATTATAAAGTCATAACTTTTTTCATCGAATAATTTTAATAATTTTCACAAATTTGTTTCACAAGAACCTCGTGGCTGTTTAAAAAGAGTAGGCAACAATTTTCAATCTTCACTCTTTTGATTAGTGATTAGATGCTTAATTCAACCGGGATTCCCTTCATTATAAGATAATAACACAAGTTTTAAGTAATCTTTGATATTTTAAATGAATGGTTTAACCTTGCATTCCTAATCTTTTGATTATGAGATTCATCTAAAAAAAACTCCCATTAAATGTTTTAATGCATAAAGAATCTATAACCCTTGTCCAAGGTACTTGATAGTTCAAAAGCGCTTCTACCATCATTAGTGTTTTAAAAACTTTTGGCATATTCAAAAAAATCTTTGTTCTTCTCTGAATTTTTTTTAATAGTTTCATTTTTTTCTTTAGATAATACACCATCCACACTAATAATGAAACAAGTTTTTTCATTTACATGGTTTAATTTCATTCAAATTTAGAACTGGTTTTAATTCCACACAGAAAGGTCAAAGATATTTAAATAAAACAACCTTGTGATGTTGTTTTAATGAAATACAATTAAGCAGTAGGGTAGCGACAAAAAATAGACTTTCCTGCAAAATCTTAATCCGGGCCCCTAAATTACTATTATGCTCACTCCCCCCTTCCTTTTTCTTGACAAAAATTACACATGAAAATAAAAACCTTATTTTTAAATACAATTTTGATTTAAATTAATAGAAACCAGTATGTTTTCTACTTACTAGACTTGCATAGTGTAACACCATGCAAGTCTAGTAAGTAGAAAATCTAATAAAATTTTTTTCTTGTATTTATAGCTGCAAATTGGTGTATAACACCTTTTAAATTTAATTGAGCTGCGATTTCTGCTTGAGCAGCTATTAGGCCTAGTGCAGGCAAGATGATTTGCGCCATTGTTGTCCTTAAATGTGTTTTAATGTGCTTAAGGATTTTTTTGCAGTTGATACAGTATTAAATATGTCTTAAGCTGGAAGTCCATTTTGTTGCTTTGCGTTGAATAGATTCAACCAGGGTTTTATCAGTTTTTAAATAAGAAGCCCAAATAGACACTGTATATTTATAGTGTGGTCTAATAAACACTTAATATAACTTGAGAGCCACATTTTCATCAATTAAAATGAATGTCTTTTTGCATACCAAGAATTTGTAAGGACTTTGAGACAACTGTTCGAAAAAGTATGCTCCACTTGGCGTAAAATGAAATAATGACTTATAAATTACGTACATTAGTAGAGCTTTTTAGGAATGGATTTATTATACCCTTTTATTTTGTTTCCCATTTATTTTAAAATATCTCAATTTTAACAGTTTGTTTTGAGGAAGAGAATCAATATTTTAGCGAAATCAAGATTACCTTAATAAATTCGTGAAATACTATAGAACAAAAAATAATATCAAAAGTCTCTATTAGATTATTAGTCAGGCATAATTTATGGTGAGAAAAGCACTGTTGATTTGCAGAGAGCATTTTATTATTGTTAATGTGCTTAAAGGTTTTGATCTTAACAAGTATTTTTACTATTTTGCAGAGTTTATTGAAATAGGTTAATAGTTTTGACCAAGTAATTTATCTAACGTTTTTTTATTGAACCGAACTAAAATTTTTCTAGAGAGTGATTAGTATTCCAGAAATAAAGAATTTATGAAAGATTTTTGTAAATGCAAAAAACATTTATAAGGGTTTAGATTGGTAAGTTAACAATGTTTGAAGTAGAAAAACCCAAGTTGGCATTATAGGTTCATTCAGGTTAATACCACTTTTCTAACGATGGAAATTATTTAGAGGGATTTTAATATTATTTCTTTTTTATGTGCTCTTTTTGCTTTAAATATTTCAGCTTTTAAGGAACGATTAAAAAGACAGCTGTTTATTTTAAGTTTATTATTCTTCCATTTCGTTGAGCAGTTGATATACCTAGCGGATTTTTTTTGCTCGGATTTTTAATGTGTAGAGTAAGCCAAAGATTATACTTTTTCTTTGTTTTATTTACCTTGAGGATAAAATATTTGCAAACAGTACAGTTGTTAGAAATTTGATCCGCGGTTTTATGCAGAAAAAAAATATTCCATTTGATTAATGCAATAAAATATGATATCGAATTGTAATCACTATTGCTGTAACTAAACAACTGAGATTCACTTTGGGGAAACGGTTTTGAAACTAAAATTTCTCAAGTGATACATAGGCGGCTCTTAGAAAAATTACATAATATAGCATTAGGACACAATTTTAAAATAGAATTACTGCTGTAGTTAAATAACAAGTCCAACATATTGTTTAAGCAATCATAGGATGTCTGGACGTAGGTAATGTGATATATTAAAATCACCAACAATGAAGCAGCCATCATTGGGCTTTCTAATTAAACTATGAGCAAATTTAAAGGATTCAGCGATATATTATATTAAATTAGCATCATTTTGTCTATATGTAACCTAGATAAGTATGTGTTTATTGTTAACTTTTACAGATACCAAAAATTGTTTGAGAAAAGTTTTTACAACTAGTGAACCTCATAAGAGATTTTTTTTTTTAAGTTGATTAAGGTGCCCCAAGAAGTCTTACGGTCTTATCACAGAGCACCGCGGAAGAGCATTTAATAGGAAGTTCACGCCTCCTTCCCAACCGATGTCGCAAAACTTGCCCACAGGTGTGGTTTGAACCACGGATCTTACGTTTCTGAGGCTAGAGATGAAGATATCAGTAATGAAGATTGCTATAATTGTTTTAATACAATAACTTCACTATTGTACTTTGCTTTAAAACCTTACCACATCATACTTATCACTTAACTAAAGTGTATATTTATGAGTTAATACAGCTTGTTTTTTTTACATATAAATAAATAAAAAGCTCACTATTTGAATTATTAGCCAAGATTATTATTATTAAAGTTAAAAAAATAGTCTGAAAAAGAGTTAGCTATACAATAACAGCAAAAATTGCTTATTTTGCTATGTTTATATAGATGCATCTTATTTTTAAGAATGACAACTTATATAAAAAAAAATTGGCTTGGGTTGCTATCAACTCTAGACCCTCCCTATGCCACTGCAGGCCCTTTGCTACACTACTGCAATTAAGACAAGCGCAGGTTTAGTGCGAATGGGGAATAATTCTTTCTGCTAAGAAATTTTGGTATAAAATAAAGCCTAATTTTCAGCTTGTGTGACAGACGTGAAACCCTCCTCCCTCCCAAAAAAAAAACAAACTACTTCAGTGAAAGATTTACATTTTGCTAAATATACACAACAGCTTTGAGAAGTCAGTACTTGCAAACTCACTAATATTTTTTGAGAAAAGACAGTACCTGTAAATGAAATATTTTTTGAGAAGAGATAGTACTTATAAATACGCTAATAAATTTACAACTTTATTCTAGCTTTTTAATTGAACTTAACATTGTAAGAGCAGGGAGAGGATCCAGCATGCCTTGGCCTTTCAGGTAGCTAACATAGGTCGTTAGAGCAAAACCCAAACATTTATACTTTTTTATACTTATGTAAAATAAAGATGCTTTGCAAAAAAATGTGATGATTTGAGTCTGTAAACAAAAAAGCTTTAAAATTTTTGCCCCCCTGCCCCAAACGTGAGAGCAACAAGTTGATAAAATATATTTTTTAATATTCTCAACTGGACTTATAAACGTCGATAAATTTTAGGTTTCATAGTATAATCTTTTAGCGTTCAAAAATTATGTCCATAATAAATTTGTAATTCTAAATTTAATTGAGGGGGAGGGGGGGTTAAACTTTAAAAGGTCATAATTTTTGAACGCTGGAATATTATACTATGAAATTTAAAATTTATCAATGAATATAAATCTAGTATATTACAAAAAACATCTAGGATAGTACAAAAAGTATTTGATCAATTTGTTGCTTTCACGTTTAGGGCAGGGGGTAAAGGGGACGAAAATGTTGGTGATTTTATGTTTCCAGGCTCCAATTATCGTAATTTTTTGCAAAGAATCATCGTCTGACATCCTTATTTAGGATCTCAAAGACCAAAAAATACTAGATCTGCCCCTGGTATGAGAAGCGATTAAGGACTGGAAATTTTAGTCATTTTCTAACCTAGGGTGAGCTGAATTCTGGAAACACAGTAGAGTCTGTTAACTAAATTGCTGAATTGAAAACAAGATTTTCCAAAAAATTTGCAAGTAATAAGAAACATACTGACAAAATCAAATTGTTTAGTGACATTCTTTTTGAAATTGAAACTGTAACAGAAAAAGTCGAAATGAAATTAATTGATGTTCAATGCATTGGTGTTTTGAGAGAGGCGTATTTTCAACAAAATTTGACAATTACTAACCAAAATAAATACAGCAACTTAGTTGACGATGCAAAAATGGCGGATGTCTTGTTTGGTAGCATATACTTGTGAGAAAGTACGTTTTCTCGGATAAAATTTGCAAAATCTAAAACAAGATCTAAATTAACAGATATTAATTTGAATATTTTAAGAACCGCAACAAGTCAAAAAGATAGTGAAAAAAAAAGACAGGTTCGTTATTACCAAAAAATTATTATTTACCTAATATCTAGCTTTTATATGTGTGCGTGGTATTTTTTGGCGAAACCTACATACCTGTATCCTACATTTAATAAATTTAAAAAATCAATATTTTTAAAAACCTCCCGTCCCAGTAAACAGCTAAAAAGCTAATTTTGGCCCTCATCAAATAAGTTGTGGCAACCCCTGGTTTATAAAAGTGTTATGTATTATTTATAAAGATAAATTTAGAAAAAAAGAAATAAAAAGTTTAATTACCTCATTATCTTTTTAAGAACATTAATAAATATTAAAAACATCAATGTAAATAAAAAATAAATATAAAAAATAATGGAATAAATATCTTATTAGTACAGTATAATATATTAATTTTGATAACAATGTTGAAACTCTTTCATAAAAATGCTAAGTCTTTCAACGTCAGCCAAAGAAATTGTATTATAAATTGAAGCTCGACAACCGCCGACAGATCTAAATTTAAAAAATATAAAATCAGTTTACTTGCACTATATATGGTTTATGATCTATTTTTATCAAAATCAAATTTATTTATAGAAAAATTGACTCCCTACCCCTGTTGCCATACGTATTTTTAAGCCCTCCCCCCCCCTCCTAAAAAGAACGTACACTTTTGAATTACCCTCTCCCCTTTTTTTTAATAATTGTTAGTTTTAATTCAGAAAAATTGTAAAAATTAAAAAATATTTTTTAAATTAGAGCGAGCGTCTTTTAAATTTGATCATACCCCTCCTCCCCCATCCAATATTTTAATGAAAGCTTTTTGCACTCATCTAAAAAAAGAGATTTTTTGAGGAGGGAGGGGAGGGAAGAGGATCTCTGACCCATTAGCCACGGCACTGCTAACACCTGTTTTTTTGCGGACTCAAAAAAGGGGTTGCCTGAAAGACAAGTCCTAGTCCGTGTGCATAGAGGGACACTATACTCTCAACTCCCCTGTACCATAAATCCTTTTATGATGGCAAATTAGGATTTTTAGTCAGAAAATTAATTTTTTGATTGGTTAGCGGGCGAAATGGACAACGATAAAACGGTATGGTTTTTTTTTTTTTTAAATTGTTATTTATTCAAAAACAATTAGTCACTAATAAGTACTTGTTAATTGTGAAAAGTTATAAAAACAAACATTACAAAGGAGTTTTTTATTTTAAATAGTGCGTACATACTTTTATATTGAAACCTTCCCCCTTCCCTATACGCTTTTTAAAGACCCCCTTCCTCTACGAGTATACGTACTTTGTGGACGACCGCTAAGCTGGGTGGTTAAATATCTGGGAGATATTTAACCACCAAGCTTAAAGAAGTTCTTAAACAAATTTATATATGTGGGGTACTAAAAGTGTTTAACTTACACTAACTGTGACAATTTACTAGTATTTTTACAACTTTGAAATAATTCAACTGTCGAATAAATTGATTAATGTATTTTTCGAAGTCGACCAAAATCGATTCATATATTTTTGAAATCGATTAAGTCGACTTAAAGTCGATTTAGTCGAAATATATAGATAATTTTTTTTAACTATAATCATTTAATGATGCTCCAAAATTTATTTATTTTTTTGTTTATGCGACACAAAGATTGCAAAAAGTGACCAACGGAGCCGTCCAGTTACGTAGATCTGGGAGATGTGAAAATAAAAACAGAGTGTAGATGGTGTCGTTGAATAAAAAATAAAAATCATAAGAAAATATAAAATGTGGCAAGACTTGTGTGAAGTAGAAGAACAAAGAATGGACGCTAAGGGGACACGGGGAGAAACAACTAACGCTCTTGTCACTCTGTGTGTAGAACATATGTAACAAAGAACAAAAATTTGATCTAGTGATTTTAAAGACATTTGATATCTGCAGGTGTAATGATGTAGGGCATTAGTATGTTTCATTTGGTCGTCTAGTATGGTCTCGTTAAGTTTTCGTTCACTTTCAAATCGGGTGAACAGAAAGCTGATGGGCTAGCACATCAGAACCAGACGTAAGACATACAGAATGAATTTCAATTGATCGAGTGCACACATTAGTAACCGTGGGCTACAAGCCATTATTCTTAGCCAAAAGAGCTACTGCCCTGTGCTGGTGTGGAATGATGTGCTATGAAGTGAGATTTTAGATCCGAGCACATAGTCAGCAAGCGCTGATTCGACGTGCATTGTGGAGCTTCCGACTAAACGTTTGCATGAGTGTCAGCATAGTCATTAGGTTATTGAGCGTTGTAACCACATCCAGTGTAAAATTGGAAAAAGCTGGACCAGCCGTAAAAAATAAATTTTTTTGTTTATGCGACACAAAGATCGCAAAAAGTAACTAACGGAGCCGTCCAGTTACATAGTCCTGGGAGATCTGATAATAAAAAGATTGTAGATAATGTCATTTAGGTAAAAAAAACATTAGGTAAAAAATTAATGTAAAGACTATTTAGAAGAAGGCATAAAAGTTAGCGACTTAGGAAGAGAGGAACCATAACTCACACTCTAGTCATCTTTAGAAAACGATACAAAAAATAACGGTAAAACGTTGTTACGATGACGTAGGAGAAAATATAGCGGCAATTTTGAACCATTCTTTTGAATTCTGGAATATCAGAGAACAAAGAATGGTATTTACTAAGTTGATGGAGGAAAACATCCCAAGAAAAATTTAAATTTTTTACACTGAAAGTATAAACTATTAGTTTTATACAATTTGTTTTTTTACCTGTAATTTGGGTGATAAAAAGAATAAATAAAATATATATATATATATATATATATATATATAAATAAAAATCTTACTTGTCACTATTAAGGTACATGTCACTATCAGAGTACATAAATTCAAAGTAAGATTTTTGGGTTTCTTGTTCCCATTCTCCTATCACAGTAATTTTTCTTTGTGAAGAATTTTTTTGTCATACATATGAACGTAAAGAAAATTTGAAATATTCTTTTTGTTTAAAAGTTGGTTATTTCAAACATTTAAAAGCCTTCCTATGCCACAGTATATATATATATATATATATATATATATATATATATATATATATATATATATATATATATATATATATATATATATATATATATATATATATATATATATATATATATATATATATATATATATATATATATATATATATATATATAGTATATATATATATATATATATATATATATATATATATATATATATATATATATATATATATATATATATATATATATATATATATATATATATATATATATATATATATATATATATATATATATATATATATATATATATATATATATACATACTGTGGCATAGGAAGGCTTTTAAATGTTTGAAATAACCAACTTTTAAACAAAAAGAATATTTCAAATTTTTTTACGTTCATATGTATGACAAAAAAATTCTTCACAAAGAAAAATTACTGTGATAGGAGAATGGGAACAAGAAACCCAAAAATCTTACTTTGCAGCTCCCTCAAATTGAGGGGGTTTAAACTTTATATGGTCATAATTTTTGAACACTAAAATATTTATTATGAATTTTAAAATTTCTCGATGAATTCAAGTCCAGTTAAAAATAGTACAACAAATATTTTATCAACTTGTAGCTCTCACGTTTCGGGCAGGGGGGGGGGGGCTAAGACTTTAGGGTTTCTTGTTCCAGTTCTCCTACCACAGTAATTTTTTTGTGAAGAATCTTTTCGTCATAAATATGAACATAAAAAAATTTGGAATATTCTTTTTGTTTAAAAGTTGGTTATTTCAAACATTTAAAAGCCTTCCTATGCCACTGTTTATATATATATATATATATATATATATATATATATATATATATATATATATATATATATATATATATATATATATTTTATTTTAACATTTATTTTCCGGATTGTCAATTTTCATAATATTTAACTCAACACAACTAACTAGCTGAGCTGAAAGCTTATTACTATGTTTAAAAGCCAATCAGTTTCCTACATTTTTTTTAAAATTATGAAGACGCAATGGTTTTCTTCAGTTGATGGCTCATTCTCTTTTACAAGAACATCTTTAACAAACAAATTTAATATATGACGAAAACAAGGTATCTACTATTTATTATTTAAATCTAGTAGACAATGCTTTATATTTTCAGCAGTGTCACTACTTGCTTAAAATGTTTTATCATTTATTTTCCATTAACTCGATTTGCTCCTTTAAATATAGGCTAGTATGAGCTTTTAGACTATGCTTTAATGCAATACAAATTTATTTCAAACTAAAATTTTGATCAACAAAATGTTGTATGCAGGTGTATACATGTTGTATGCAGGTATATACTTATTATAATTCAAATAAACATGCAATTAAAAATTGTGTGAGCTGAAACTAAATAAAAATGGATTAAAATATACAAACAACTTAAACAAAGGATACAGTCCTTTGTTTATGTTATGTACTCTGATAGTGACATGTACCTTAATAGTGACAAGTCATGATCACATTTACTCTCTTTAACTTAAAAAGTAAAATTTTTTTCAAAACTTCAAGCTTATAATTAAAGTATTTTTAATTAATTAAATTTTAATTAAATTTTGAAATAAATTAATTTGCCATTTAAAATTTGAGGGTTTAAGACACTATTTATTTAATATAAATATTATTTCATAATATTAAACTTTTTGAATACACAAAAGAGCAATATTTATTATATGTTATACTTTGCACATATCAAGAAATGTAGCAGCAGAACTAAATGAAACACTAGTTTGATCAATTCATACTAAAACAGCTAAAAATATGAACATCTGTGGAACAAAATGAAAACAATGTAAATACCTGTGCCCACTTAGGCCGTCTAAGCCACGCTCTTTAGCTAGTTGGACAAATGATTTTTCAACAGACTCATCTCCATTTGGTCCACCAACTCGAAACGAAATGTTAAGACGAGATTGTGATTTTACCTCAACAAGAGCTGTGTAGAATCCTTTTGAATCTGCTATTGTGTTATACAGTAGTTGAGATTTTTCATGGGTTTGTTTCTCAAAGTATTCCAAACCGCCTAATTTTTTCATCCATTTTAAAACCAGTCCAGTAATATATATGCTAAAAACATTATTTAAATATTTAGTTGTACATGTTGTTATACAGCTGTTGTATGTTATATATATTTATGCTTTTTGAATTTTATTTTTTTAATAAAGGGTGCTTAGGGTTTCTGAATACTGTTTAACAGTAATAGTAAACAATATTCAGAAAAAAAACAGTTTTTTTTTTGAGAAAGATTAAAAAAAAAAAAGCATTTTTTTTAATCTTTTATCATTTTTTTAAAATTAAAATTAATGCAACAAAAAATTTAAAACCTTTTCTAGGCGTTTGTTTCTATGATTAAATTTTATTTCAGTATTTTAGTAAATTTGAACTGTATAAACTTTCATTTAAAATAAAATAAAATTTTATTTGATTGAAGCATTTTTAAATAAAAGTTTCAGTTGAAGAAAAAAAAAATTATTAACTGGTAAAAGAAAAGTTTTTTTTAGTACTTAACATGTTTATTAGAACAAATACAAAAGTAACCAAAGGAGTAAAGTTTAACATGACTGTCAATGAGAATACTACTTTAAGTAGGGCAATGATATTTTGCAGTTGATATTCAAAATATCATAAATATAGATAACAAAACTGACAACATGTCACATATAAAACGAGATTAATACAAATATTTTGTTCATGCAACGCATTCGATATAGTTAAACTAATGAATCAACATTTAAGTGTCTTTGAAATATAGATGCAGGCTTTGTTATGAGATTTCGATGCGTAACGGAAAAGCGCAACCTGAATTAATGTAACTTTATTAAAAAAAGATATTTACATCGTTAAAAGTTTAATTGTGTCAGTTGCGTATTTAAAAATACCAGAATGCCATTGTTATTCAATTCAAAAACACATTAGAAATTATTGTAAGTCTTTTAAATAAAATATCTTTAAATTAAACAATATTGTTATAAAAAAAAGTTATAAATTAAATTTAAATGTTGATTAAAAAATAATTTCCTTGTTTTAAAATCTTATACTTATTTACAGTTTAAATTTTAAACTTAATTTTTTTTCTTTAAAACATTTTTTTTACGGTTATTTTTTTTAAATGAGAGAACACTTGTTTATGGGTAATTTTCTTAAAGGGATTTAAGCGTACTTCTACTCAGTTAGATTGGGTTTTCCCGATTTTTAAAAACCTTTACGTTAACTGGCTTTTGATTAAATTAAAAATTGTAATTAAACGAAGATTACGGCTTTTCGGCTTTGTTTTTTTTTTATTTCCATTAAAATATTTTATTTTTATGTACCGTGAAACCTAAAGTATTTTTACGATTTCTTACTAAATCCAAAAAGAAAAATAATATTTTCGGTTTTAAGATGTTATTAGCAGAACTTGCTTTTAACAAATATCAGTATAATTTTGAAATTTACGTATCTTATATCTATAGCACTAGAATTAGTTTTGTTTTTAAAACAAAATAAATATAAGTTGGGCTTTTAAAGAGTTTATTTATTGATTGCATTATTTTTAATCGGTTTAAAATTTGGTTCGTATTATAAAAAAAATTCTACTGCATATAACTTAACGGCAAAGGGAACATTTAAACTCGACTTTTTGTATGACATCATTTATTAACTACAAAAGCACATTTGGACCAGTATTTAAAACTGGAACTACCTGCAACTTAACTGAAATTAAAATGAAGTTATATATAATGTGAAAATTTTAAAGTTACTTGGATTAAATTTGTTAAATTTTTTTTTTTACTTTCACATAAATTTTAGAAATTTTATCAGTAAAAAAAATTGTAAAACGAAGCCTTTTTAAATTTTTAAAAGTATTTTAAAAATTTAATCAAATAAATTACTAAAACTATGAATAATAATAAAATTAATTCAAACTTTTGTACAAGTTTTGTATCAGCTCTTGTATTTTTGAATTACTATTTAAAAAAAGTTTTTGTTAGGATTTAAAATATTGAACAAAAATTTACTTATTAAATTTTTTTTTATTTAAATTTAAAAAATAGTAAAACAGCTGTTGACAGCCGTTTTTTTAAAAACAGAAACCTTAAGGGTGTTTTCAGAAACCCTATTCTAAATAAAACTAACTTTTACTGTTTAAAGTTTGCTCCAAATTTTAAACAGCCACATTACTAGCCATGTCAAAACCAAACAAAAAGCATCTTGGAATGAAAATTTTCTAACAATAATCAAGGTAATTAAAAAAAAAAAAAAAAAAAAAAAAAAAAAAACTGCTGCTGCTGCTGAGATTAGTAATTTTCTTGATGAAAATATTCATATAAAAAATTTACTCAAGACAAGAACAATCTTAAAAATGAACTGCTCAGGATTGAGTTCAAAGTGTTTCAAAAGAAAAAAACTTGTTTATAAAACGCACCTGTAACATGGTGGTGTATTTAATGAAGATCCTAACTCAACTTGCTCTTTGAAATTCCATATAGAAGGACATATTTTGAGTTGTTTACCAATGAGATCTTCTCGAACAATTACCAAAACAACACCAGCAGGACCAAGAAGTTTTTGAGCACCAGCAATTATGCAAGCAAACTAAATAAAAAAATATATATTGACATAAAAATGTGTTGACAAGCAAGATTAACAAAAATTCTATATTTCAACTAACTTCAATCTTCACTACGTTCATATTATTAATACTAAGTTAATATAAAAAAATTGTAAGGTTCAACATGGTAAACAGGTACCAAGAGATCAGATAAACATAATAACAAATTTAAGCAGTGACTGTTTAAATTTATTCATTTAGTTAGTCAAATTTTATTTAATATTATTAAAGAATACTCCTAGTTAGTTTTGTAGTTATTTATTAGATTGAGTTAAATAATGCTCTCTAATTGTCTGTTACTTAAAAACTATTTTTTGTGGTTTCAGAGTATTACTTTAAATAAACTGTTAGATCTTAAAATGCTTAATTTCAATTAAATTTTTTTGGTAAAATCAAAGTAAGAAAATTTCTTATTTTTGGCATTAAGATTTTATATTATACTCAATGTGATGTCAATAATTGAAAAAGTAATCTGTTCCTCATAATATACTCAATGTGATGTCAATAATTGAAAATGTAATCTATTCCTCATAGTTAATACTTGTATTTAGTTAATATTTACATTTTCCTCACAGTTATATTATTTACAACAAATGTGAGCACCCCAATATTATACTGTTAATATTAATTATTGATATAAATACTATTTATAGAATTAACAGTTGAAAACTTACTTTAGAGATATCTAACTTGCGAGTCATTATATTTGATGACATATCGCAAACTAAGGGCTTGCCATTTGTTTCAGGAATAAAATCAAATTCAATGCCTGAAAAAAAATGTGTTTAAAATTAAGTGCATTTGTAAATAAAAATATTTAAAAAAATAAGATAACAAACAACAAGAGAACTATTTTAGTAAACACACACAAGTAGAAAAAGTAAACACACACAAGTAGAAAGTAGTTAAGGACTAAGCTTCAGTAAATACAGTTTGATTTATGAACTCTTTTAATACTAATTTTTCTATATATTATTTGTTAATGATTTTATACATCTACAATTTACATTATATAATTATTACATTTAACAAACCTCATTAGGTTTGTTAAATGCTTTTAATTTTAATCTATTTTTAATCTATAATACAGAACTTAATAGTAGTAGTAGTGCCCTTTTGAACATGTTTGACACAGAACTCTTGGCAGCCATTGTAACTGAGGTAATGGCAAGAAAGAGTTGCAGCAGCTTTTTTTATAAGAAAATGTGAACGAAAGTGTATGCAAATATCTAACGTACGTAACGTATGCAAATATCTAACATACTTTCGCTTGAAAATTGCATTGCGTTGACCTCTCCTTAATTTTTGATATACAGCATTAATTTTCATTTTTTTCAAAATTCAAAATTTTTATTTAGTTTCAAAATTTCAATTGTCAACATGCCAGCATGAGTGGTTAGCACGCTGTGTGCCAACCACTGCCAACATGCCAGCAGAGAAGTTAGCGCGCTGAGCTTCTGAACAAAAAAGCTGTGGTTCGAGTCCAACCACAGGCGACCTTTTTTTTTAAACTTTTTCAGATTTTTAAAATACAAAATACTTGTAAAGTTTTATAAAGATTATATACAAACATATCTAATGATATATACACTTTAACAAACAAAAAGATTTTTAAAAAAGCCAAAAATTCTAAAAACATTAAAAAATGGGGGGAATTTAGTTGAGTATGTGTTACATTTCAAGTTTTTTGCACAACTCAACTAAGTTGAGTTTGTGCAAGAAAAATAAGTATACAACATGTTTATATATAGAATAAAAAATCTATAGAACTGTAAAGTTGTTTTGCATTTTAAATAACAAAAATCAAAAAATAAAGCAAGCTGATGATTTGAACTTGCCACGCAGCAACCTAAACTTTTTCACAACAGTAAGGGGGCTTAAAAAATATGTTTTATATAAGAACATAATTGAAAATTCTAATTTTATACTTAAATTAAACCATTTTATTAAATTAAACACTTTTGAAAATAATTAAAAGTTAAAGTTATTTAATATTGATACAATAAAGAAATTTAGAGTTTAACAGCTATTTTACCACGCCTCCATCATTAATCATTCTAAACCGAGTGTGCAACAATGACAGAATTTAGATAACCATCAAAATAGTATTATACTCCATTATTTTCTGGCTTTATATACTTTTTGGCTGATCCCTAATTTAAACTTTTAAATAAGGGATCGCCCATAAGTTACACAACGCTAAATTTCACTAATGAACAAAACAAAAAAGATCAAAATTTTCTTTGCAGAGTCATATGTTAAATAAAATATTAAAATTGCTCAGCAAGTTTAATGAAAATTGCCACCTAAAAGAACTGAAGATCTCCTTCTTTTTTAAAAATAAATTTAGCGTCGTGTAATTTATGGAAGACTCCTTAACATTTTATAGTCTATAGTTTTTAATGGCCTAAGATCTTCTTAGTTCTACTATTTGTATAGTGTTGCGTACAAACGTCTGTAAAATTAAATGTCTTTAGCATATCTTGAGTTTGCAGACAGTATATGAAACAATCATATATAATAAATCTGTAAAAATGAGAAAACTTTTGAATTTTATTTTAACAAATAGAAAATATTTTTGCTATGCAATTACTTTTATGCTATAAATATTGCTATAATTATTGTAGATATATACTAAAAAAAATATTTTTTGCTTAAATATTGCTATATATACTTTTATGCTATAAATATTGCTATAATTATTGTAGATATATACTAAAAAAAATATTTTTTGCTTAAATATTGCTATAAGCACAGCAAGATTGAAAAATATTCAAAACTTATTAGGGGATTTAATCCCCCAAAGCGACACTGATCGACTTTAATCCCCCAAAGCGACACTGATGACAGCGTACTAAACCACTGAGCTATCAATGATATGCATTTAAGAGAAAAACAAACCTAATTATAAATCTCTTATAAGCTCTAGGTGTGCTGAAAGGGTGCGCATGTTAATTTTTTTGTTCTTAAAGCAATTTTTTTAAATGAATTATTTTACATAAAAATATTGAAGTAAACAAATTATAGGTATAGAAATGTAAGAAAAATTGGTGTTATATATATACTAGTATAGAAATGGTAAGTTTGGTAAAGACCTGTATTTTAATGGTCTGGAAGGATATATATATATATATATATATATATATATATATATATATATATATATATATATATATATATATATATATATATATATATATATATATATATATATATATATATATATATATAAGGAAAAAGTATAGAAAAGGTCAGTGTGGAATAGACTTAAAAAGAAATGTACTTTTACGGGTCAGATCAGTACTTGAATACTTATACAAATGCACATATTTATTCTTGCCACAATTTGGAGTTTGTAATTGGGACTGCATAAACATTTACATACATCCATAAGTATAATTCAAAATTCATGCTATATTTTGTATATATATGCATATTAAACATCATCATCATCATCATCATCTGATTATCTGATCATCTGATTATCTTCACTTTTGGCATATCGGGTGGACACAGAAAAATCCGGTCAACTTTAAATTGAGATTTCTCGAAAACCATAAATGCTTTTTATTTCAATTTTTTTTATTATTAAATGTGTTTACATAAATTAGAGTTTCAACTTAATTTTAAGGGGCTTGATGGGTTGCTTGGCAAGAAATCGAACTTTATAGCGGGTTGATGCCATCATTTTACATATTTTATCTTTTTTCACCATATTGGTGGCATTAATCCACTTTTTTTGGAAGTCCTTTTTATTATTTGTTAGTCCACCTGTCTTACGAAGAACTCCTTTAACTATTGCCCAAAAATCTTCAATCTTACACTCTTCAGGACGATTTGGAGGATTCGCATCTTTAGGAACAATTTTCACATTATTATTTTTGCACCACTGTAAAACTTTTTTAGAATAGTGAGAGGCAGCAAGATCAGGCCAAAAGAGACATTGGTATTTGTGTTTTTTTATAAAAGGCAAAAGTCTTTTTTGGAGGCATTCTTTGATGTAGAGATTGACAGTCAAGGTCTTTTTAGTGACAAAACAAAAGGACTGCATACCACAGCTACAAATTGCTTGCCACACAAGGAACTTGGATGCAAATTTTTCTTGTCGAATACATTTAAATTGATCATCGACAGGTTTATCTTTGTTTTCATAGTAAAACTGTTGACCAGGAAGTTGTGAAAAATCTGCCTTGCAATACGTTTCGTCGTCTTCAATTATGCACATTTTTTTATCCGCCATTATTTTAACCAACTTCTTTGCGTGTCGAATTCCTTTAATTTCACAATTTAAGCTTCTCTTAGGTGTATTTTTTTTATGAAATGCTTTAATTCCAGCATTTTTAAGTACTTTTTTGATATAAGAATGAGAATTCTTATATCAAAAAATTTTAAATTTTCTTTCTAGATCTCGCTGTGACTGATTTGGATTTCTTGCTATTGAACGTAAAATCGACTTTACCTTCTTGGATTTATGGAAAGTTTTTTTTCTTCCACTTCCAAGTTTTCTATCGAAGCTTTGAGTAGTCTTGAACTTGTTTATAATATCTATGACTGTAGATTTTAGGACATTTGTGCGTTTAGCAATCAAGCGATAGAAAGTCGATGGATTTTTGCAAAAAAAATTCACAACTTTTTTACGCACCTCAACTTGTTTCCAAAACATTTTGCAAATCCTTAATTTGTAAACAAAAATGTATCAACACCATTTAAGATAAGGAAGAAGGTTTAATTAAAAAAAAAAAAAATAAATAAAAAGCATTTGTGGTTTTGGAGAAATCTCAATTTAAAGATGACCGGATTTTTCCGTGTCCACCCGATATACTACACCATATAAATACTAAAGTTTATATAAATATAAAAGGATGCTGTATGCCAGCATCTAAAATAGCAAACATGCCTATACCCATAATATGTATTTCAATCATAGTCTTAAAAAGGTGTTCTCCAGAACTCTCTTCAATTTTTTCTAAACTATTAAAAAGTGCTAAATAAGTCGTTCCAATTTTTAAAAACTCTAGAAAACACTTTGACCTCTCTAACTATCATACGATTAGTCTTCACTCTATTATTAGTTTCTTTATATAAAGTTTTTGAGATTATTAAATGATTTCTTTCTAACTGCAATATTAAAGTTATTCTTAAAGGCCTGCACTCTTCTGTATTTCAAGAAAATTTAAGGGTATCACAAGGTTCTATCTTTGCTCCTGTATTGTAACTTATCTACAATAATGATCTTCATGAAAATTTTACATCTAAAGTAGCTCGATATATTCTGGCGACTCAACTTTTTACTCTGTCTTGACAAAAAGCCTTCACTTTTTAATTCCTTAGAACAAGCAGCCAATTTTTAATCTGATCTCTCTTCTGTAACAGCCTAAGGCTAGCAGTGGCTTGTGGATTTTAAGTCTGGACATAAAATCCACAATTTTTGTTAGACAACTAAACTCATTTATTTACTGCAAAAAAAAATATTGCAATAATGTTGGCATTCCTATATTGATGAATAACAACCCTCTTATTCTCAGAAAAAGTCTAAATGCACATTGTAAATGTAATTAGACCTGCTTTATCTGCCAAGCTTATACCATTCTCCAATTGTTTTAAGGTTGCATTTCTTTTATTTTTCTGCAAATACCATCAACCGAGCTATTATCTCTATTACAAGAAACCAAAACTCATTTTAACTTGTTTCTTATTCAACAAGTTGCATCCTTTTACTGTATCTGTCCCTTCATGCTATAAAAACTTTTATTAATCCAGTTTTTTACCTTGCACATCAAAAAAACCTTATAACTTATAGTCATCATCATGTTTTTCTTTTATATACAACCTATAACTTTTTAAGTCTTTAGTTAAGTAACTTATAACTTAACAGTGGTTGCTTGTAATCTTGTTGGAAATAGGTATGTAATTTGCATATATATGTTGCGCCTATGCACCAGTAGTGGTTTGGCCTATTAGCTAATGCCAATGTCATGGCGAATGTCAATTAATTGGCAGAGTCATCGGCATTAGCTAATAGGCCACCCATTACTGGTGCATAGGCGCAACTTATATATGCAAATTACATACCTAATATTATTATATTACCTTTATATACATTCATTAAACCCTATTATTAGCCACAATCGGCCTTTTTAATTGGTACATCACCAGGGTTGCCAGGTTTTTTTTCGGACACAAGCCAAAAATGAAACAAAAATAAACCAGAAATAAACCAGACCAAAAAAAAAAAAAAAGAAAAAATCATAATTTTTTGTTTTAAAGCCTTGTTTATATTATATATTTTGAAAAAATGCTTTTTTATCCAAAAATTTCATCCTTGAATATTAAAATTTAATTTGTAAGAGAGTGAGGGAAGAGGAGAAGAATGACTTAGTGAATGTTTAATGGGACGCCCGTCCAGCCTTTAAAGCGGCGTGGGGAAAGTAGTTCACTCCCAAACACCTATACAAAATCTGACACTATCAACCTGTAAAATATATTAATTTTTTTCGCTTGCATATGGATATAGATTTCTTTTCAAACCTTTGCAATAATTGACTCAATTATTTCAAAGTCCTAGTAAAAAATCTTTTGCCTTATTAAATATGATTTGATCCAAATAACTGCATGCAAGGCTTGGTTTGATATTTTCTTAGTCTGATTTATATGCAGATGAACTGTGACAACAAAATAATTAGAAACAGAACACATAAACAGACATGGCAGTAAGCATCTATATTGCAGAGGTCTAATTCTTTAATGATGCAATGTCAATTAATTTATGATTAATGACGATTTCTGTAATGATTTTCAATTTCTTCACTTTTTGCATCCATATGATGAAACTGTAGATTTGAAATGGCCTTTTCAACTTGAGAAACAACATTCGTTACAGGCAGTTTTTTCACAAAAAAATGTAACTTTGAATGTAAGAATTTTTTTATATTTTTGGCAATTAAGGGATAAAAACAACACTTTAATTACAGTACAAGTAAAAGTTTTTAACATTTTAAGATTTTAATGTAAGCATTTCTTCCATTTATTTTAGACTTGATTGTTCTTCTATAAAATGAAAAAATGGAAATCTTTCTTTCCCTCAAATTAACTTCTTTCATGAAACAAAAACTTAATTAAATTGATTTATTATTAAATAAACCAGAATTAAACCAGATTTTAAAAAACATATCAGATAAAACAAAAAAAGACCAAAGACTTTAAAATAAACCAGATTTAAACCAGATTTTCTAAAATAAACCAAAACAAAAGTTCCAAACGCCAAACCAAAAAAACAAACCAGAGTTGAGAAATATGACTTAAAAAAACACCAGATGGCAAACCTGTACATCACTATTGGTAGGCCAAATAAGTTTGGAAACCACTGGTCTAATTAGAACTGTTAAACATTATTTACTAATAATTAAATACAAATAACACACACACAATCAGAAATTTGATTAGAACAATAAACCCACACTACTAATAATCTTGTTCTACCAATCAATAATTTTATTAGAACAACAAGCACACACCACTAATAAACTTGTTTGACCAAACAATAATTTTATTAGAACAATAAACACTCACTACTAATAAACTTGTTTGACCAATAAAAAGCACGCACCTCCAATAGTCTCATTGGAACAATAATAGAAATAATCAGCATCTTTAGAAAGTTGCCAGGTTTCAGTTGGTGGTATTCCAGTATATTTAGCAACTTTTGGGACAACCAAATTAACTCTTCCGTATTTACTAGCCTAACAAAACAAAAAAAAAACAAAGAGTTAATACATTACACAAATACAACAAAAATATTCACAATATAGAAATTTTTTCTATTATATATGTTATTTGAAGAGCTAAATGCTTTTTAAATAACATATATAATAAATATGTATTTTTAAAAATACCTCAGAAGCAGCCTTTTCAGACCATGTTCCAGTAACTAAATAATCTGCAATGCCATTTTCTAAATGACCAAAATTAATAGATAATAAGTAAAACTAAAAAATTTTATGTAAAAAGAAAAAAATCAATACTATACATTAAATAATTTCCAGTGTTGATAAGATTTGATACTAATACACTTATTATTTATTATACTATTATTAATAATATATTATTATTAATAATATTTGGATATTATTATATTATTAATAATATTTGGATATTTTATTTAATAAATGGTAAAGGACTCACAAAATATTAAAAATAAAAAAATTGAAGTATGATATCAAAAAAAAAAAACTCTAAAGTATGACCTCTAGAACAAAACTTAAAAGTATGACCTCTAAAACAAAACTATAAACTATAAACTCTAAAACTGTTATGAGTTACAGTTCTAAAGATATGAAAACTTAGCATTTTTTGCAGCATTTGATAACGATATTTAATAAACAAAATAAGGTATCAACCAGAAATTTGATATATAGACAGTCCTCAACATGACAGATTCAAATATCAACTTTACAATTGAAACTCATTTAATTATGTTTTGTAAAATATAAATTAAATCTTTTTCATATTGGTTTCACATAACTCAAACATTTTAATTTACATTCAAGATCTGTCCAGTCACTGTCAGAGAAAAAAAAATACTTTGATCTTTTTAAATAATTTCTGAATCACATTTCATCACGAAGAGTTGAGTCAAACTTTTATAATAACAAAAATAACAGCATTAATAAAACAATTTAAAAAAAAAAATCAAATTAACACCAAAATTATATAAATTAATAAAAAATACCAGATAATTCTGATTATAAAAAAGACAAGATAATTTTGAAAACAGTTTTTATACCATAAAAATCGTTATAATTTAAAAGTTAACATTACCTTCACAGTCCTAGCAATAAGAAATATGACATGTTTATGATTAACAGTGAAAACATTGTATTAAGACGATAACAATTTAAACAAAACAATTTAAACAAAACAAAATAGTTTTTGCTTTAAGAATATAAGTTACAAATATTACAAAATTAAAAAATAGTATTTATAACAGATAATAAAATCAAAATTTAGTGTAAGATTTAACAATATTTTATGTTCATTAATTTATTTTGGGCAATAAATCTTTTAATAAAAAAGCCCATTCAGCAAAACAATTTATTGCTACTGTCATGCACCAACTTCTTGAAAAAACCTTATCATAGTGATTATTTTAATCCAATAAAACACTTTTTTTTATTATCCATATTTAAATTTTAAAATATTTAAATTCTCTTTAGGTGATTAAAAAAACTAAATAAAAAGTCAGCATAAAACAGAAAAACTGAATCATAAACTGTAAGGAGTTGTAACTTTCAGGTTTTAAAAAAAACCCTTTTTCCCATGTGAAAAAACAAGTAAACTCTTGAAGGTAATGATTTTTTCTCCTGCTGATTTGACGTGGGATGCCTTTCAGAATTTTATAGAGATTCAGAAAAAAAAAGATTTTAAATAAAAAATAAATTGATTTAATTATATAAACAAAAAATCAACATTTTTTAACAAAAATTGTTAGGCTAATTTTGACATTTTATAGCAAAATTTATTTTTCAAAAGGTTTTTAATAAAAAATATATAGTGAACTATAAAATCTTAATAAAATTCTGGTTCGTTTGAGACCTAACAATTATAATATAATTATATTATCCAACTCATTTTAATATAGTTATTTTACTTTAGACTTTTTAGTTACTTTCAAACCAAAGTTCATTAAACTAAAACGTTATAATTTGATGTACATATTATTAATATAAATTTAATCGCATGCATACCTTATGATAATTTTGTGCATGTAAAATGTGATTTCATATGTGGAATACAGCTGTAACATATTTTAATTGTGTTTCTGTAAAAAAAAATTTCTGGGAATTGCAATTAATATGGTGAAAGTGTTTATTAAGGTTTAAAAATTTATTCCGATATTTGTGCTATCATTTTTACTGAATTGGTTAAACCAAATGATGTTGAATTAATGGTTCTTGATAAATTAAAGTTAGAATGGTAGCAAGATTTATAACTAAACTTTATTAATATGACATTACTAATAAGTAAATTTAAAAAATTTTCCTCATTTTTTGCAGACAATTTAATTTAATAATATGCGGAAGTTGTTGGAAATAATGAGTGGTTGGTTTAAATTAGTGTGAATATAGTTTAAAGTTTTGGAATATAATTGAAAAGTGTGGTATTTTAATGTGGTGTCAAAACAATTTACAACTTTCGTAGTAATATAACAAGATATTAATTATTTTAAATAAATCAACAAAAAAAATTTTGATTTTTTCCCTTAGAGTTTTTCATTTCACAAGATATACCCTTTCAAAACAATTTTTTTCAACTGAATAATAAGAGAAAAACACCACAACCTTGCATATGCAATTACACACTAAGACACTAATAAAAAAACTTAATATGAAAAAAATATGATAGAACTTTATAAGTGCAATATAAACCTTTTGAATACCTGTTAAAAAATTCATTGCAACAGCAGCAAACATTCCAGTGCAACCACCTTGCAGGAATAGAATCTTATAATTTTCAGGAATATTCCTAGGAATGCAATATTATAAAATAATAACATAAAACCATTTTTAAAATATAATAAAACAAAAATATAAAACAACTAACAGAAGTTCTCTTGTGTCAGCCTCTGCTTGGTTGCAAATTGAGATGAATTGGGAGGAGCGGTGGCTCATTTCTGAAAAAAAGAAGAAAAACTTAAAAAACTAAAAAACCTTGCTCAGTATAAACAGTTTGAATTACATTTACTAAAATATAAACTTAACTTATATATAAACTTTACAATACCAAGAAAATAAGAAAATTAATTGAACTATACTAAAAATGATATTTTAAGTATTTAATAGTTATTAATAAAGATTTGAATAGACTGTCAGCATGCAGAGACATTGGAACTTCAGGAGACATAGACAGAGTAAACTCTAGAATGTAACAAGTAGAAGGTAACAAACAATATAAGAAAGTAAACAGAGAAAAGTCTAGAATGAACAGGTAACAAACAATATTAGAAAGTAAACAGATTAAAGTCTAGAATGAATAATATTAGAAAGATCATAAAAAATATGAAGCACGAGAAACTGAAAAATAGTAAAAACAAATTTATCTCAATATAAAACCAATTTTAAAAGGATGCAACAAAAACAACATAAAACAATTCAGATAAAATCTTACTACCTTACTATAACTTGAAAAAATTTATCTTTAAATATATCTTTTTTATTGCAATAAAAACTTAAAATATTATGACACATATCAAGACAGCTTGTAACTTACTAAGGATCTTTTTACAAAACAGAATAAAGACAGAAATCTAATGGTTTAATAAATATAAAACTAATTTATATTTACTAATTTAATTGATACTTTAACAACAAAAAAAACATTAAAATTCATTAATAACTAAAACAAATCTTAACCAAATCTTACAAGTTTTAATTAAACGAAATCTTAATGATATCTTATGATCTAAAAATCGTTGATTTTGAAGTTATTTAAATTTAATTATTAATCATTGATAAAAAAAACATTGACATTCCCTTTCCTGACAAATATGACAATATGACAAGTTCAAAGATTTTGCAAAAAAAAAATTTGAACTTATCATATTTTTCCTTAAAAAATACCTGATCTGATTATTAAATGGTTTTTAATTTTGCAGTTAATAGATTTAATTAATAAATAAATTTAACTTTTAATTAAATAATAAGTAACTTATATATTAAATAAATAAATTTCTAACTTAAATTCAAGAAAAAATTACATTTATACTTAAAACAACAAAAAATTACATTTATACTTAAACAACAAATTTTTTCGAAAAAGTAAGTTTTTAAACAATTAGTAAACTTTTAAATACAGTAAATAAATATTAAGTATGCAAAAAAACAAACAAATCAGCAGACAGCTTTACAGAACCCAAATTGATAGCAGTTGACTATATTTATAATTTTTGCAATAATATTAAAAATATTATTATTTTTAAATAATATTAAAAAAATAATAGGTCTACTACTATTACCATTAGCATCAAACGTTTGGACAAATATTAACTTAAAATATTAATTTGAATTTAAAAACAAAATTAAATAATGTATAAACCATTATATTCAAACTGATTTACTTTTACAAACCTTTGTAATTTTTTAAAATTGATTTGATATTAATTACCGTTTTGTAACAATTCAACTTTAACTTCAAAAAATCAATCCTTCCGAACAGTAGAACTTATTAGTCGTAGTAAGTCAGAACTTATTAGTCATAGTAAGTGACCAGATCCCAATCCCCCGCCTCTGGCTAAAAATGAGACTTTTTTCAAACCCGGCCCCAACAAAACTATATGATTTAGCAGGGTTTCATAGCCAAGGCTAGAAAAAAATTTATAATTCTTTATATATTATAATTTTATGCTTACATTAAATTATTTATTAAATACTGGCATATATTTATATATTTTCAAACTCTAACTTACTTCCAACAAGATTACAAGCAACCACTATTAAGTTATGAGTTACTTTAAAATAGAGAATAAGTAAAAATACTAGGAAATAGTTAGCTGAAGACTTAAAAAGTTGTAGGTTGTATATAAAAGAAAAACATGATGATGGCTATAAATTATAAGGTTTTTTAGATGTGCAAGGTAAAAAACTGGATTAATAAAAGTTTTTATAGCATGAAGGGACAGATGCAGTAAAAGAATGCAACTTGTTTAACAAGAAACAAGTTAGAATGAGTTTTGGTTTATCGTAATAAAGATGATAGCTCGTTTGAGCATTGACAATGATGGTATTTGTAGAAAAATAAAAGAAATGCAACCTTACAACAATTAGAGAATAACATAAGCTTGGCAGATAAAGCAGGTCTAATTACATTTACAATGTGCATTTAGACTTTGTCTGAGAGTAAGAGGGTTGTTATTCATCAATATAGGAATGCCAACATTATTGCAATTTTTTTTTTGCAGTAAACAAATGAGTTTAGTTGTCTAACAAAAATTGTGGATTTTATGTCCAGACTTAAAATCCACAAGCCACTGCTAGCCTTAGGCTGTTACAGAAGAGAGATCAGATTAAAAATTGGCTGCTTGTTCTAAGCAATTAAAAAGTGAAGGCTTTTTGTTAAGACAGAGTTAAAAGTTGAGTCGCCAGAATATATTGAGCTACTTTAGATGTAAAATTTTCATGAAGATCATTATTGTAGATAAGTTACAATACAGGAGCAAAGATAGAACCTTGTGATACCCTTAAAGTTACTCGAAATACAGAAGAGTGCAGGCCTTTGAGAATAACTTTAATATTGCAGTAAGAAAGAAATGATTTAATAATCTCAAAAAATTTATATAAAGAAACTAATAGCAGAGTGAAGACTAATCGTATAATAGTTAGAGAGGTCAAAGTGTTTTCTAGAGTTTTTAAAAATTGGAACTACTTATTTAGCACTTTTTAATAGTTTAGAAAAAATTGAAGAGAGTTCTGGAGAACACTTTTTTAAGACTATGATTGAAATCTTGCCTGAAGCACAAACTGTAGAAGTAATTAATTGTGAACTTTAGCATTGAAAGCAAGAGTGATTTGGATGTTTAATCCATGGTTAATCTGTTTAACTAGCAGGAAGAGTATGGTCGTTAAGATTCAAGAGTCAAATTAGAGTAAAATTTATTTGCAAATAAACTCTGCTTTATTCTGTGGAGAAGTAAAAAGATCAGACCCATGAATTAGAGATTAAATGTTTCACTTACTTTAGTTAATGACATTGTTAAAGACTAACCAAAAGCTGAAAACTTTTGGTTAGTCTTTAATACATCTGATATAAGATTTAATAAACTGATAATAACAGAGCTTAACACCAAATGGGACCTTTTTACATTGGCTTCTTGAAATAATAAACGCACATTTGTTCTTAACAGAGATGTTCTTGTAAAAAAGATGAAATGAATGATTAATAAAGTAACTGTTCAAGATAATGAAAAATGTGGAGTAGAATGAGGCTTAAATTAAAGAGTAGGAATAAAAGTTTCCAAACTTTTAGTCCAGAAGGAATAAAAGCTTCAGAGATGCACTTTATGAATACATATTATGGATATAGACATGTTTGCTATTTTAGATGCTGGCATACAATATTCTTTTATATTTATATAAACTTTAGTATTTATATGGTGTAGTATTTGCCAAAAGTGAAGATAATCAGATAATGATAATGATGATGATAATGATGACGATGATGATGATGATGATCATAATGATGCTTATATATGCATATATATACAAAATATAACATAAATTTTGAATTTAAAAAAATATATACTTAAGGATGTATAAATGTTTATGCAGTCCCATTTACAAATCCAACCCCAGCCCCAGCTATATTTTATCAAACCCAACCTCAGCCCCGGCCCTGGTCAAATATCAACCCTAGTTGCTTACTAATTAGTCATAAAATAATTTGTTCTATAAGTGATTGATTATTTATCATTATTATGTAAAACACTTATAAAACTATTTTTAAACTTGGCTATAGTAAAAAAAACAGAAAATTTTAATGTAAACTTAGCTATAATATAGTAATACTATACTGATTTGTAATTTATGTATACAGTTTAATTTACTATTATTTAGTTTAACGCTGCAATTTTTATATATGCATTCATTTTAGAACTTTTTTGTTCAGAATTAATCTCCAAGGAAATTATTGAACTGCAACGGTTAATGATTGTGTAAATAGAACTTTGCAAAACTTTAATAATTGTCCAATGGGAAATGTTGCTTTGCAATCATTAAAATCATGAAAGTTTTTATGGTGAAATCTTTGTATTAAATATATATATATATATATATATATATATATATATATATATATATATATATATATATATATATATATATATATATATATATATATATATATATATATATATATATATATATATATATATATATATATATATATATATATATATATATATATATACACACACTTACTAAAGCGTGTTTTGATAAGCATTTGCTCACTTTTTCTGCCATCTTGCTCACTTAAGCCATATTGTTTTTTTCGAAAAAGAAGAAAAAACGAAGAATGATGAATAAAATGATTGCTTCCCCATCCCAAACCCTCAGTCGATGTAGCAGCACTCCACTGCGAGTCAGGCTATTTGTCAGTCGATGTATGTACTGAAGCCCTCAGCAGCAGGTTATTTCAGTGTGACGTCATATTGCTTACCTTAGTACGCAATACTATTTGTATATATATAAAATGTATTTGTTCAAAATATCATTTCTATGTTGAAAATATAAACTAATATTCAAGAACATACTATTTATTAAAATATATGAAATCATTCAAATGTTTTAAGATTAATGTCTCTTACCCATAACTCCATACCCCATTCCATTATAATTTAACATCTCATTTGATGCTTGCTGTAAAACCTATTGGAAGATTAAACAAAAAAATAAAAATAAATATAAATACCATAAAGAGATAAATGAATCCTACTAAGTAAGCGAAAAATGAATCCTGTCAACACAAAATCAATAAATCTTACAAATGAGACAATCAACTTGTTTCTCTAGGCAGCAGCCTTTTTTGTTAAAAATTGTGTTTTGCAATAAAAGGTTTAAGGGTGGACTTTTAATTTAAAAAGCCTCATTAACTCTGGGAAGTCTGGGAAGGTGAAAATAAGTAAAGAAAAGAAAAGAAAAAAGAAAAAGATTCAAGTGAATCACCTATTTGAAAAACTCCATATGTTCACACAATCATGTTTTGAGATAATCAATAAAAACTGATAAATAAAAACTCAGCTAATTTTGATGCTGATAAAAAAATTAAGTAAAAAAAATTAAAAGTTTAACAAAATCAAGATAATGGCTCGATAGAGATACTAGTGGTCTTTTTGTGCTTAAGTTTAATTCTATCTAAACCCAACAATACTTCATTCACAACTCAATAGCAACAAATGGTGGACAAATGGGGTTTTTCAAATAAGTGATTTAAGTTAATTTAAACCATAAAAGACAAAGCTTACTAGAGAATATAAGAAAATAATAAGCAATATATAATATAAAAAATTAATACAGATTTGATAGTAAGATTTTTCTGAATATTCTGCAATTTCACAAATTTTAAAGCCAATTTTTTTTTTATAAGTTTCTCTTTATTTATCAAAATTAATGTACTTTTTTCCAGATTAAATGTTGAAAACAAATATTTAAATGTTGGAAACCAAAAATTCTTAATCTGTATTTAACCTAAAATTAAATAAAACACTTACCTATATACATTTTGCACAACAAAGTAAATGTTTCATGTCTATATGCAGTGGCATATAGACATTAAACATTTACTTTTTTAGAAATTTTAAACATTAACGTCATTGCCACTATCTATACGCCTACATTTTACATACATGGCTAAATTTTACATATTATTCACATATTTGAAGCCTTTCAATGTTACTATCTTTAATTTTAATGATATTTACACCTCTTATAGGTATTACATAATATATTATCATTTTATTTATAACAAATTTAAAAAAAAAAAGTTATTCACTTCCCCCGAGGGACGTGATGGGGATTAAACTTTCACATATGAAGTGAATTCTCTGTTATTACATCAATATAAGATGTAGTAGTAGAGCCGCATGTAAAGATTTATTATTAATAGTGTAAAGAACTATTATTAATTATTATCATAATAGTGTTATAAAATGTACTGTTTTGACAATAGATAGTAGTTTGGAGCTTTTACAGCACAGCAATGATAGTGGAAAAACACTATAATTAACAATTTATAAACTTATCACATGGATTTTTCCAGGTACTATAAAAAAATGATGAGCGAATGCAATTAAATTTTAAAGTGGAAATGATTTAAAAAAATTAATTATTCAAAAAAATTAGCTTATTCAAAAGCATATTGGAATTAGGAAATGTAAAAATATTTATAATTCATTATTCAAAGCTTACTAACTAATACTTCTATTTTACCAATTATATATTTATTTTGCTAATTTTCAATACTGCAATTATAAAATAAACATTGCCCATAGTAGCATTAATTCATAATAAATATCGCATATAGTAACATAATTTTTAAAACAATGATAGCTTCAATCAGAAAGTAATACAACTAAAACCCAGAGCTCACATTTTAGCCTTCTTTCAAAAGAACAAACATATTTAAAATCATTTTTTAAAATACTTTAAAAATGTTTTTTTGAATGATTCTATCAATAAAACTAATAGATAAAATTTTTAATTGGTTGAATTTAAAATGAATACGGATTTCTCTAAAATCAATTGAAACAAAAATTGGTGAAAAATGATCATAAATTGGTTAAAACTATAAACAACTATAATCAATTAAAAATAATTCACAACTAAATTTTATAGATCAAAACAACCAGTTCAAATTATATTTGTTATTTCTTTGTTTTAACAACTTGACCATGACTCTTTGCAAGTTTTGGTAATTAGCGCATTTAAAAAATTGGCTAAAAAAACAAAGCAAATTAAAATAAACAATCCATAAACTGAGAAAAAAAGAAAATCCTTTAAAATGCATATATAATACGAAAATTAACCTAAAAAAATTAAAACTTTAAAGATTGATAAAATAAACAGAGGAAAAATCAGGAAAAAAATCAATACATTTATTAATGTAAACTTAATTGTAAGCGAAAGTTAAAAAAAAAAATTTATCATAGATCTATTAATCTGTATCTTTTCTTCCCATAAATAAATAGGCTAATAAAAGGGCGGATCCGTGGCGGATAGTGAGGGAAAGAGTCATAAGGGCATTTGCCCTCTTTTCACACACCCTCCCCCCCCACCCCCCACACCTCCGATTTTTTTTTTTTATTAAAGAAATTGATGTTTAAAAACGTAAGTAACTTTTAAAAGTTACTTACGTTTAGAGCTGTTTAAAAGTGCAATGAAATTTACTAAAATTTTGTGGTGCAAATTTAAAATTTTATTCAAAAGTTAATAGGATACAGTGTGTGACAAATCGACAAAACGTGCACGCATTTGTTAAAAGACAAACAAACAACACGTTTCTTAAATTTTGCTTACGCAAACGTTTTAAGATTTTTCAAAACGAACACATTACTTCAGCAATTTTTTTTTCAAAATAATTTTAGGATTGATTTTATTTATTATAAAAAACACATATTTAAAATAAAAAAACTATTAATTTCAGAGACTTTTAAAAATAAATGCCAAAACATAATACTTTTTTCAATAACATTACTTTTAAGTAAAATAACCAAGCACGTTATAGAAAAAAGTAATTATGTTTTAGCATGGTCTTTGCATGTGCTCACAAAAGCATGCAAAATTTTACTTAAAATGCTTTTGCAAAAACTTCAAAAGAAACCGTGCTTAATCATTATGATTGCTTTCTTTTATTAAAGAAAGCGATCATAATGTTTAAGCACAGTTTCTTTTATGTAACTAGCAATTACATTGAAAGTTTAAAGCAAATGAATTCATTTTTAAATAACATTTTGCATGCTTTTTTTTTAATTTTCTTACTTTCATTAAAGTGAAGTAATGTTTGTTTGCATATCAAAAACACTTTAACACTTTAAAAAGTCTTTTTTATTGTACATTTATATTTAATTTGCGCACGCTTTGCAAACATGTAAAAAAAAAAATTTTTGAAAAATAAAAATTAAATAAACTTACCAAGCATCTTTGATGTATTTAATAACTTATTAACTAGAATAAAAAATTATTTTAATGATTGCCTTTTATTACGTTGCAATAAAGTACTTAGGAAATTTCAAAGCAGTTTAATTATAAATATGGAATCAATTAAATTAAAAATCACATTTACATTTGCTTTGTTTTTTTTGACACATTTTTTAAAAGCGCTAATTGTCAAAACTTACAACAAGCCTTCCCAGGAAAGGCGTGCGGTTTATTGTCTTGTGTGACCACACGCGAGTATATTATTTTAGACAACTTGAACACGGCCGTTTCGAAGTTTCATAATAATGCTGAAAATATTTCAAAAAAAAAAAACTAACAAAATAAAAAGAGATTGAAATAGAAAAAAATAAAAACAAATTAATAATTTAAATAATTTGTGTACTGTTTTTATTTTTGTTTCTTTAGAGTGGTTTTTACATTCAGCAACAAAATTAGATAAGGCGAAGCAAAAAAAAAAACAGTTTGAAGTCAATAAAAATAATAATTTTCCTTTTCTTAATTTTTTTTTAAGAGGATAGCAAAAATACAAATTGCAATGTGTTTGTAAAATTTATTTGTATAATTTTAATGTAACAACAAGGGTTGAATTAAGCGGATGCGAAATGCAAAATCTGGAAAAATATATAGTATTCAAAATTTTAGTTTATACAAAACCGTATTCCTTGTTATTAAGGGGAGATTCAACTTAAATTTGTTTGCGAAAAAATAAAAAAAAACTTACAATTACAAAAGTAATAACACTCTAGTCACTAACTGCATTACAAAAGTAATAACACTATAATAGTGTTATTACTTTTATAACGCACTTATAACTTTTAAAACTCATTCTTTGTTCAAGCAACATTAGTATTCCCAAATTTTAATTGAAGTAGAAAAATATCTAGAAGAATAATGTAGATGTTCAAATAATATTAAAACGTGACAAACAACTTTATAAAAATGTATCGTATTAAAAGTTTAGCATTATGAAAAACGTTACTAATGGACCGTAAAAATGCACATTAATTTTAAAATTAACCAATAAAAATTTTTTATTGCAAGGTACCCACTATTAAAACTAAGGCTAAAATTAAGGATTTTAAGGAGATTTAAGGAGATATTTTCCTAATATTTAAGGAGATTTGGTCGCAAACGACATTTTTTTGAAAGAAAAATTAAGGATAATTAAGGAGAAAACGATTACATTAATATATATATCATAACAAAAATAGGTTTGAAAACTATCAAAAATCTATATATTATCTTCTTTATTAACAAGTATAATTCATTCACTTTAAAAAATTTTTCTAGATGAATAAAAAAAAAAATAAGGAGAAATTAAGGAGAGCAGTCAAATTTTAACTTTTTTTAAGGTTATTTAAGGACATTTAAGGAGGTGTTTATTTTTTAAGGATATTTAAGGTTTTTAAGGAGGTGTGGGAACCCTGTATTGGTTGATTTTAAAATTAACGCGCGTTTTTACGTAATGTTTTTCATAATGCTATACTTTTTATAAAGTACTTTTTTATAATGTTGTTTAAGTGATCTGTGAAAATTTTAATAATATTTAAATATCCGCTTTATTTTTTCTAGATGCTTTTCTACTTTAATAAATGTTTGGAGTTAATGTTGTTTGAGCAAAGAATGAAATTCAAAAGTAACAAGTGCTTTATGTAATAACAATATTATAGTTTTATTAAATGTAATAACACTATTATAGTTTTATTACTTTTATAATGCAGTTAGTGACTAAAGTGTTATTACTTTTGTAGTCGTAAGTTTATTGTTTTTGTTTTGTTTTTTGTACTTTCTTGCTAGCAAACTTTTAATAATTTGCTCCTTATAAACAAAGTACACAGCTTTGTATGGACTAAAATTTTAAAGATCTAATATTTTATCAGATTTTGCAAATCGTGATCGTATAATTTAACTCTTGATATAAACTTGTTACATTATAATTATACAAATATATTTTACAAACAGATGACGATACATATTTTCTCTTTCCGCTTTAGAAGAAAAAACACATAAAATATGGGAAATTCATCCTTTTTAATGCCTAAAACCGTTTTTTTTTTTGTTTTTTTTTGCTTTGACTTACTGAATTTTGTTGCCGATAATAACCACTAAGAAAAAACAAAAATAAAAACAACACACAAATCATTTAAATTATTATTATTGTTTTCTATTTAAGTTTACATTAATTTCTTAAGTAGTTATTAAATTTAACAAAATTTTTCAGCAACGCATATAATAAAACTTGCGCAAACGGCCGTGATCATGTTCTCAAACTTGAAAAACGTTTTAGTGTCATACTAGACGAAAAACCGCACGCCTTTCCTGGGAAGGCTTGTACAAAAAGTCATGGCCAAGTTGTCAAAAGAAAGTATTATATGCGTGGTCATATAAGGTATGCGACCGCACGCCTCTTACGCAAAGGCCTGCACACCGTAAGAAAGCATATGGAGATGACCAGCATGCCAAACTTTATAAAAGGTTAAAAGGTTTAGAAGGTTCTCCACATCTATCTAATGCATGATAAAACCTATCAGTTATTACAGCCAACAAATCGGTAGTAAAAAAAGAAGATTTAAATCCATGTTGATGATCAGAAAGTAAGTTATTAGATTCAAGATAAGAGATTAATTGTTTATTAAAGACTCAAAAACCTTGCTAATGATAGAAAGAAGACTAATAGGATGGTAGTTGGTAAGACAAATCGCTCTCCAAACGCTGTTTTCCAGCTGGCTGGAAAACAAAACTATGATAAGCACTTGTTAAATAGTTTTGAAAGTATAAATGAAGACTCCAGAGAACATTTCTGCAAGACTATAACAGGTATGTTGTCCGAACCCCAAGCTTTAGAAGGTGTGGCAGATTGATTTGATTGTCACAAATTTTTATTGTCGCAAATTTGATTGTCAAAAATGTGAAAAAGAAATAGTGTTGCAAATGAATTTAATGAATGGTGTCGAAAATAGAAAAAAGGAATAGTGTCCTAAAGGAGTTTAATGAATAGTAACAAAAATAAAAAAATAATAATAACTATAAATGTGTGTTTAGATGTCTGATGTCATACTGAAATAGCCTGATGTCATACTGAAATAGCCTGCTGCCAGGAGCTTCAGTACATACACCAACTATCTTACAGCCTGCTGCCGCAAAGGAGTGTCGCTATATTAACTGAGGGTTTGGGGTTTGATAGCAACCTTTTCTTTCGTTATTCTTTTTTTTTTTTTTGTAAAAGTCATATGCTATAAAGATAAGCAAAACAAGTAAGCAATTGCTGAAATTAACTATTTGCAACACTATTCCTTTTTTTATTTTTGACACTATTCATTAAATTCAATTGCGACACTATTCCTTTTTTGTTGCAACATTAGGCTTTTTTAACATATTTAACACTATTCTGAAGTTTATTTTTTGACACTATTTCTGTCACCCCTTTAGAAGAGTCTAAGTAGGAAATCACTTTAGATACAGAAGCTGGAGCGATATGAATATCAAGCAATCGATCAACCTGCTTGTCAACTATATTAGGTAGGAAGTGATCAATGGAACCAAGAGTTGAGATATATAAAAATTTCTTAGCCAATTCAGCTTTGTCTTTAGGTGAGGTAACAAAATCTGAACCATGCAGGAGAGGAGGAATAGCAGATTTGCACTTATTATAGACACTGTTAAAAGGATCCCAAACCTATGAGACATGTTGTGTTCATATTATAGAGAATAATATAAAAAAATGGTTGGGCTAAATTTTTTTGATTAAAACAAAAGAATAAATGCATATTAAGAAAAACTAATTTTTTTATTTTAGTCCAAGCTCACCTCCATTTTGTTGAAGGCCAAAAAGTCAGCATAATATACACTGCAATCTACAGACTTGATAATTTATTTAAACGGGTTCATATTTAAAAAATGATTAAAAAAAATGTTTAGGCTGAATTTTTTTTTTGTTAAAACAAAAGAATAAATGCATACCAAGAAAAATGAACTTTTTTATTTTAGTCGAATCTCGTCTACTCCATTTTGTTTTAGGCCAAAAAATCAGCATATTATACACTGCATTCTACAGACTTGATAATTTATTCAAGCGTGTTTTATTTCTAAGAGTTTTAGATCATCGATTTTTTGTTTGATTGTTTACATTATCAATCTTTTATACAAACAAAAAAATCAATGACATCATGCACTTAAACTCTTAGGAATAAAACACGCTTGAATAAATTATCAAGTCTGTAGATTGCAGTGTATAATATGCTGACTTTTTGGCCTACAACAAAATGGAGAAGACGAGATTCGACTAAAATAAAAAAGTTCATTTTTCTTGGTATGCATTTATTCTTTTGTTTTAACAAAAAAAAATTTAGCCTAAACATTTTTTTTTATCATTTTTTTAAATATGAACACAACATGTTTCGGAGGTTTAAGATCCCTTTAAAGATTCTCCAGAGCCTAATTTCTCTAATTTCTTAGTTTCTGGAGCCCAATTTTTGAGATAAAATACAAGATTTTGTGATCTGAGAATAGTGAGCTTTGGTGTTAGTTAAAAATTTTTACAATAGTTTCTAGCAATAGTCAACAGACATAAATTAGATGTTTTCAGGAGAATGGTTTTGGCAATAGATTTGGAAATAATGGTTACTATTGGAAACTGCAGCAGCACAATAAGAGGGAAACCATGGAGAAGAGGTTTGACTTGAAATTGTAAAAAGAGAATAAAATATTATATGCCAACCTAAATCTAAGAAGTAACTTAAGAAGGCCATTTATCAGTAAGACAAAAGATTTCTACCCAAGGGCCATCACAAAGAATATCACAGAAAGAGTCCCAGTCAGCTTCAAGGTAGTTGTAAGAGGTACAATGATAGGGGGGTTCTGATGATGAAAAAGAATGAGATAATAGTTTTAGAGAGATCAAAACCTGATGAGAAGAAGAAATTAAGGGTAAATGTGGGGAAATGAGCATTGACTAGGATCAGAAACAAGACATAAGCCTACAATTTTTATTTTTTTCAAGTTAATTTAGAAGAAGCCCCAAGAAGTCCTTACAGTCTTATCACAGAGCACCGCAAGGCAGCATTTAACAGGAAGTTCGCACCTCCTTCCCAACTAATGTCAAAAAACTTGCCCAGAGGTGAGGTTTAAACCACAGATCTTACATTTCTGAGGCAAGTGCGCTACCACTGCACCACAGCTACTATAGAAGGTAAATGTCTGGATTGTCTGGAAAGCAAGTTGGAAAGTTGACTATTTGTGTTTGAGATTGAGAAAGACAAAAGTTGTGGGTCTTGACAGTTGCAGAGACACTGACACTAAGACCAAGCCATTCAGTGTGATGCGCATTTAAGTCACCAACAGCAATAATATTAGCTGTAGGATAAAGAGAAAGGGTATGGTCAATTTAATCAGAAATGAAATCGAAAAGACTGCAGTCTTGAGATAAAGGAAAGCAATATAGAAGAAAGAGAAAGATGATTGAGTGACGTGGTGCTTAACAAATGTACATAAAAGAATAGTCTGCAGATTTAAAGCTAGTTTCCTGACAAATGAGTGAATTGTTACAAATGTAAATGCCCAGGCCAAGCATGTTACTATTGAAGTCTTTAAGAATTAAAGAATGATAACCATCAACACTAAGATCACAAGTTGAGACAGCTCAACTCAAATTAGTCTCACAAAGAGCAGGTAGGCCTCATGAACTTTGCAAAAGATAAGACTTAACAGAAGAAAAGTTACTTCAGAGCCCACGAATATTAATGAATGATAGATTTAGAGAACTTGGTGATGACAATGGTTTTTTGTGTTTTATAGTTTTTTATACTTTAGTCAGAGGGTATCAAATGTGGCATTGATAATGCACACTCAATACATACACAAAAGTACCAACAGGGACGCCTTCCATGTTCAACATGGCACTGTTAGTACTCTGATATTTTACAGCTGTTGACGGAAGCAATTACAGAGTTCAGAAAACCTGACATTAACAAGAACATTACTAACTTAAACTGATATCTTTTTTACAAGAAACACGCTTCAAGAAACAACTGACTCACTCAAAGACATTCTGAAATTTGCTAATTAATTTTAACATAAAAAGTAAACTTTATGCAACAAATCTTTTTGTTAGTGTAAAACACAAAACTTAAAAATATTACTTTAAACTAAAAAAAAAAATATTAGATATAACATAGTGAAAGTTTTTTAATATGTATGTACTAAAATATCTAGAATACAAAATGTATTTGAAAAACTCCATTACATCTAACTACATTTTAAGCGCATGAACTAAATGTGCATCGGCAAATATAATTAAATGTAATGATATTAAAACAACTTGAATTAATGAAACAAAATTATTAAGAAAGTAACAATACAAAAATTAAAAAAAAAAAAAAGTACAACATAAAAAGATAACTTGTCCAAAGTTAAGCCATATTAAATTCTAAAACCTAGTCTTAAAAGATGTATTTCAATATAAGATTTTATTGTATAAAATTTGAATTTATCTTAATTATCAAAGTATTGAAAACAATATTACTATTAAAAATACTATTATTAGTAGTAATATAATTTTTAATTATAGCATTAATAGTGATAATGATATATATATAAAGAATAAAACCTCTATGGGCAATGCACTTGGTCCAGGAAAAAAATTCACAACACGTTCTTGGAAGCTCATATTGGAATTTTTTACTGACTGAAACCACCAACACAGCTAGCAGCTAAACACAGAGAAACTTCTTCATGAAAAAAATGGTAGCAAAATTTTGAATCCAAATAAATCGTAACTATCGACAAAAAAAAAAAAAAAAAAAAAAAATTACGCTTATCCGCAGATATTCTTTTTCAAATTTATACTTACATTTTTATTCAAATGTTTTATTTAATGATAAATCTTACAAATCAGTAGCAATAAGTTTTTTTTATGTTTATGCAGTTAATTATTAATAAATATTAATTGAATTTCTTTAAAAAAGAAATTATTTATAAAGGTTATGTAGAAGGGTGTAATCACGTGTAGTGTTGCACAAACACGTTTAAAAAGCGTGTTACTTTACGTTTAAACGTTCTTCTTCTCCGCCCCCAATATTCATCGCGGCTAAACGTTTAGCCACGACGAATATTGGGGGCGGAGAAGTAGTCGCGACATTTCGATTATTGTAACCCCCGTACAAATTAAAATCACAAAAAAAAAATAATTATAAGAATTAAGAAATAGTTTATCTTTGAAATATTTGAAATAGTTAGCTGTTCAACGACTTCTAACGTCTCAGATTGAAAAATAGCTCCTAATATTAGGAGTTAAAATATCTAATTCAACTACTAATCTTTGGAGTCATTTAGTATATATTTATACTAATAAAAATTGTTTCAAATAGTATAACTACTTGAAACGATTTTTAATAGAATAAATTGAATTTATTCTATTAAAAATCGTTTCAAGTAGTTATACTATTTGAAACAATTTTTGAATGAAAAAAATAAATGATTTGATATACTGTTATTTCTTTTCTCTTTCTATACTTTTTAACTGGGTTTTCAAATAAGAATTTGTTAGTATATTATCGATTGATTAATTTATTGAAGTTTCTGTATGCGTAATAGTTTGTGTTGATCGGTTTTTAAAAGAAAAAAAAAGTATATCGAAATAGATTAAAAAATTTTAGTATATTATTTACTTATTGATACTTGCTTATTTTAAGTAACTTAATATTACTTGTTTACAGTTCTAATAATATATCTATTCTATCGACGCGTTTAGTGGTTTACAGCAAACGCGATACCAAATTTTTGTTCAGAATTTTTATCAGATGCTAATAAATTCAAAAAAACATTTCGCAATATAGGCCGCACGCTTTTTTAGACTTGAATAACATCGCCCCCGTCATTAAAATTTCGCAAATATTTTACATACCAATCTTGTATAAGTAATTAAATATATGCATTAGGTAAGTTTAATAATGGCGGGAGCAAATAAATATGGTTGATAGAAACATTATTATTGGTTACAAAAGTATTTTTGTAACCGATAATTCGGTTAACAACCGATAATACGGTTATCAACCGATTCAAATAACCGGTTACAAAAAATTTTTCGTTACCGATAAAAAATTTTTATATAGACACAAATTCTATGTTGTATACTGATATACACAGAGGCAATTCTACAAATAAAATGAGGGGTTGAATCCTTAAAAAATAGAGACTGGCTTCTAAAAAAAAAGAAAACTCCTCAAAACTAAAATTTGTCAAATACCCAACTAGCCGACTAAATTCGTAAAAAAACCAACTATAACTTGAATATCACCTTCGCAAAATCGTCTCTGGATATACGTATGTCTTTTCAAAATATTTTTTGAAATAATTTGAAAAGATACTTATTATAAAAATCAGCTACAATAAATATCTTGTTTAAGCTTAAAAATGGATTAGTAATTTTTTGCATAAAGAATCGTCTACAAATTATGCAATCTCAAAATTAATTAATCAAGAAAACAAAAAAGATCACGAGTTTTCCCTTTTTTCTAAAGAAAAACCCAGAAATAAACACAAGTTATGAAACGCTGTTTAGGAAGCTTAAAATAATATTTTTTTAAAACGTTGTCAAGATCTGATCAACACCTGCCGAATTGGTGCAAAGCTGCGATTCAAAATAAGGGGCATACTGCAATTCATAAAGCAGGCATTTTTTTACTAATTTAGTTTTACTAATTATCTTTGAAATTAATTATTCGTAATAAAATATACAAATTATTATCTTCAACTCTTATTAGGTCCAACCTTTTTTTTTTCAGTTATAAAAATATTTCAAATACTTTCACACAAAAAAAAATTACTAGTTGGTATATTATCTTATAGTTAACTTCCAGACATGGACCAAACTCCAAACATTTATATTTTTATACTTACGTCAATTATGAGGCTTTGCAAAAAATTGCGATGATCAGAGGCTGGGAACAAAAAAAACCCCAAAATTCTCACCCACCTGCCTCAAACGTGAGAGCAACAAGTTGCCATAATATTTTTTGTACTATTCTTAACTAGACTTATATTCATCGATAAATTTTAAGTTTTATAGAAAAATCTTTCAGCGTTTAATAATTATGAGCTTGCATAGTTTGAAACCCCCTCCATTTAAGGGTTACAAAATTTATATGGTCATAATTTGTGAACCCAATTGCCCGCAATATGCCCGCCAAGCATATCTTATTGTAAAATATAAGTAAATAAATTTACTTATATTTTACAACAACTTTGACAGGATCTTGTACAAAAGTAATGTAAAAAAGTAAAACTTTAAGGCACTAACATTTAGTTTGCCGCAACATTTGATTTGCGCGGTTTTAGGTATTTCTTCCCTGTAAAGTTTGAAAATATCAACAATAGGTTTCCGCCCATGATTAAAGCCCTCTCTAGTTCCGGTCCATTATAGTTTTAGCTATAATAATCATTCTTTGAATCAAATCATTTATAACACCATACCCTGAAGATTAAGGAGCCCCAAACTTTTTATGAAGATGCTTTATTTTGTAAAGAAGATGCTTTATTTTGCCTCTTTGATGCGAAAAATGTCCCCTTTTTGGACAAATGTCCAAGAATTTGACTCTAAAAGTCTTAGTTTAAATAACTAAAGTAATTTTATATGAGAAAAATTTAGAACTTTTCACGTAAATATCTTTATCTGCATGTAGTATCAGTGGCCTAGATACCGTAAGGCCATTTTAAGGAAGTTTGCTTTTAAGGAAGTTTGAAAATTCACTAAACTTTCCATCTTAGCAAACTTTCCCAAAAGCAACTGAACCTAGAGCCGCAAGGTTTAGAAGCACTAAGATATATTTAAAGAGTTTTTTTTTTTAGAAAAGTTATTGTTCCAGAGAAACAGAAATTGGGCACCTTGGCGATAGAATTATTACAATTGGTTAAAATTTAAAATTCAAAATGAGGCAAGATCGTGAGTTTTATATGTATGGCCCATTTGATAGCCACATCAAATTTAGCACGTATTTATTTAAGGATTATGCCACATTAAGTGGAATAGTTATGTGAACCGCATTATGTGTTCCACAAGTGGGCCACACTTATCTTTATGTTATTTATTAACTGTAATATAATAATAATAATAATATTATAAATTTTTGCTGTACACATACAATGTGTGAGTCTAACATCTGTAGATGTTAAAACTTTAACAGACGTTGCAAAAATTTTTTTTTTTTTTTTTTTAAATGTTATATATTTTTTTTGTTTTTGTTTTATTTGTTTTATATTTTTATTTTGTTTTTTTCGAAACGATCAAACTTGTTTTTGAAGATGTTCACATTTTTAGAATTAATTATCTCCTCTGTTAAATTATTCCAATTGTTAACTATTCTGTTTGTAAGGAAGTTAAATCTTGTGATAGAATGTGTGCATTTTTTTTGTATTTTCTGAGTATGACCTCTTGTTATTGCATATTTAATTATTTTAGGAGGATGATTCCATTTAACTTTATCCATATTTTTACTTATTTTATAAAATTGAATCAAATCGCCTCTTTCTCTTCTTGTTTTTAAAGTAGTCAAGTTAATTTTTTTCAGTCTATCTTCATAGCAAAAGCTTCTTAAACTATTTATTCGTGTAGCCCTACGTTGTATTTTTTCAATTTAATCAATATCCTTTTGGTAGTAAGGGTTCCATACTGGCACCGCAAACTCCAGTTGTGGACGAGCGAATGTATTTTTGAACTTTTAATCCACACAAAAGCACTATGACCACATGTGGGCCACATATACCTTTCTTATCGGGTTATGTTTTTTAAATATTATATTATGTAAGTTTACTTCATAAATAACTTTTTTCATATTCAAAAAGTAATTTATTACTTTTAAATGTAAGTAAGTTATATATTTTTATATGAGTTATGTAAAGTAATTAACGCGTAAAAGTAATTTGCAATTTTACTTTAAAATAAGTAAAACTGCCATTCCTAGTGGACAATTTTCACTTTAAATTGGCATTATTCACATTAATTTGGCATTTTTTCATTTTAATTTGGCAATTTTCACTTTACAAATTAAAGTGAAAATTGCCAAATTAAAATAAAAAAATGCCAAATTAAAGTGAAAATGTCCACAAATCAGATGAAATCTTCTCAGTAAATTTAAGGTAATAAAAATACTATTTTATTATAAAATATAAATGAAATAGTTTTTTCTTCACCTATTCATGTTTTTGAGTCACAGGTATATCATAAATATATATTTTTATGGTTATTTTTATTTTTGAACGAACTACTGCATTTTTATAATGATAATAAAATGATTATAACAAACAAAAATTTTAATTGACTATTTTGGTCTAATACAAAATAAAGTTTCTTCTTGAAAATGTAATTAGGGTTGGTTTTACGTAATGAATAACACAGTATTTTGAAATATTTAACTTAAGTAACCTAGTGTTTGACCACTCGTTTACCAAACGTAGACAATCCTGTAGATCAACGAGGTTAGTCTGAATTAAAGTTTAGTATCATAGGAAAATATCTCTGAAGTTTCATCAAATTGGATTGTGTAGAGAATGTGGAGGAGCGAGAACAGAATCTTGAAGAACACGACTGAAAACATTAACCTTAACAGAGCTGATATTGTTGATTGTAACGGATTGCTTTCTGCCTAATTAAACTTTTGTAGGAGTTTGCTGTTTATTATAAAAGATCCTAATTTTAATATAAGTCTGTTGTGAAGTTTAGAATCAAAAAGTTTAGGAAATTTGAGATAGATTACATCAATAAACTGGCATGATGCTGTGGAAGACGAAAAAAGTCTTTGTTAGATC